CAGTGGGTCAATTCCGGTCTGTTCTAATTGTGTAAAAGGCACAGGGGGTGTGCTACTGGGTGTCTTGGTGCTTGTTTCTGGTGTGACCAACCTAGGTCATGTAGTGAAAGATTGCCCGATCAGGTTTGAGACTACTAGTCGTCCTGCAGCAAGTTCAGCGGGATCCGCTTCTGTGGCCAAACCAATGCCAAGCCAATACTGGGAAATAACCTCTGAGACAAGGCCGAGTGTTTTCCTTAGTGCCCGGTGACGTGTCGAAACACCTATACTGTGGTGTTAGGTACACTCCCTATATGTTCTCAAATGCATATGTATTGATAGATTTCTGTTTCTACACATTCCTTTGTATCGTATGTTTTTTTCTCGAAATTGACTATACATTAGAACTTATTACTTATGTGTTATCTGTGTCTATGCCGTCTGGGGATTCTATGATGTGTGCTCATGTTTATCTAGCATGTGATGTTATATGATTGCAAGTTTGATGTTATATGCGACTTATTCCTCTTGGACATTAATCATTTTGATTGTATTTTGGGGATGAACTTTGACTAAATACTGTGCGGGACCGATTGACTGTGCACTCTTTAGTGAGGATTTAAGGTTAGAAACACACTAAGAACCAACGGCGTAAGTTTTGTGCAATTAGAATGTGTGTTTCAAGTGTGTGTCTGTTATGTGTTATGTAGGTCACGTGCCGCGTATCGTGTGATCAATTTGCTTTGTCTGTCTGTTTCAAGGCCAACTGTGAGTAATAACTTAGTAAAGTTATGTTCAAACTGTATCTACTTTCTGTGTGATAAAACAAGATCTGTTTTCTGAAATGATATGTTTTGTACAATGAATGATTGTTCAATTTCTTATATGTATTTGTGACATCCTTAACATCATGTGATATCTGTTAGCTGTTACCCGGTATCGGAGGTTCCTTTATGGAACTTATTTCTGTCTGCACTCTGTTACCCGTACCGGAGGCCCTGTCACGGGGGCTCAGCTTCTGTTCTGTTCTGTTGCCCGGATCCGGAGGTTCCTTTATGGAACTAGTTATTCGTAACCTCACGTGTATACGTTCTGTTCTGTTCTGTTAATGCTAATGGATGTATCACGTAAACTTAATCATGACTTATAATTTCTGTCTGTATATGATCTGGACAAATGATGAATTTGATACAAATCTGAATTATGATTTCTGAATCTGTACGAACTCATTCATTGAAACCCTTTACTCTATTATTATTTTCTGGGCTTTCGCTCACAGTTTATATTATGTATGTAAATGAGCCGGCACATGACCAGGGCCAAAGTTGACGGCCTTCTGTTTTGTTTTTGTCAGCCAACTGTTGTGCCTCCCGAGGAGGTTCCGAACGAAGCCTAAAGCCATGGTTGTTTTTGTATTCATGCTAGTCTTTGTGTATGCTCTGTAAAGTCAAGTCTTGGGAAGTACATTCTGTAAATACCTTGTAAATATTGTGTATCTGGACTGGCATGTTTATATATATATATATAAATAAGTTTTGAAATGTTTTGTCCCATGTATGTTATCACAGCTCATTGGACCTTGTCTATTTTGTATTATTGTTTCCGCAGCCCCTTATTATTTGCTAAAATCTTCAGAGGCCTTTGGTAATCCACGGATTACTAGCCGGTTACGGTGCTAAACCTACAAGGGGCGGGTTTGGGTCGTGACATTTTCACTGGTGAGAGTAATGGCAAGGACAAATTCGTCTTCATCTAGCTCTTCGTTGTCGGTGATGGAATCAATTCGGTTTCCAATTTCAGTCAGTCAGTTCAGTACTTTTAATCAGTTCAATTATCAGTCATTATCAGTTTCGTTTAACAGTAATCGGTGATTATCGGTAATCAATCGGTCATTAATCAGTAAACAGTATGGGGGTTGTTACAGATGGTATCGAGGAGTGAGGGGGTGGGGGTGGAGTTTGAGAAAAGATGGGTAGTTAAGACATCCTTGAAGGAGAGGGGGGCAGGGTTAGTACCTGGGTTAGGGATGGATTTGTGATGATGACATTCTTGCTAGTCAATTTCTTCAGTTAAGGTGTCTACTAGGTTGCCATTTGGTTGGGCTTGATGGCTGCCGGTTGCTATGGATTTTCCTGTTAACACCGATGGGTCCTCTTGCCATTGAGCAGCAAAACCTTTCTCACTCTCTCTCTCTAACATTTTTTCATTACATAGTTTACAGTAAGTCATTTGTTACTACTATCAAATCATTACCAATACCCATACACATATCAAAGATGTTAGAGATCTCAAAAGTTTTACTACTAAAATTTCTATCAAATATCTAACATAGGTGTGAGACCCACACAGGGCCCACATAATGTAGGTCTCACACCCATATAAAAACATTTGATAGAACTTTTGTTATTTTTAATATTATTCTACACATATACAACACTAACCACCCTCAAAATGAACATTGATTGAGATTGATATATATAAAAGTATAATATATATAAATGTATTGAAATATATAAAAAAATTATATGAAAATTTGTAAACGTTTATTAAATTTTTAACTTCAACATAATGATTTTTATTTTTTAAATGAGCCGCACTAGTAAATTAAAATAAAGAACCTTATTGAATTCGGGTTGCTAAGTCATACCCAGATACCCGCATTTCAAAACCATGGCCGCGCCTTGCAATAATGACATGCGAATATGCAATTCATTTTGGGATAAATTACGAACGCATCTTTTAAAAATATAAATTATTTTTATAATTTTAAAAAATACATTTATCTTTTGAGATTTTAAATTTTATAATAATTTATTTTATTAATAAATCATTAATCTAATTAACTAATTGCAATGATGTTAAAAATTTATTTTAATTAATAATTTAAGTAATTTTATTATTGTATAAGAGATAAACTAAAAATTTTATTTTTTAATTAATTATATTAAATAAAAAAATAAGTTTTACGTGCAGATGTTAATAGGTGGACTTGTTATCCAATAAGTTCGGTGATTATTAATTTCATTTTTATCAAACTCTATTAAAAAAAATTAATAATTGTTAATTTTCAGTAATAGTTTTAAAATTTTGTCACAAAAATATCACTAATTATAAATTTTAGTAACAGTTAAAAAAAATCATCACTAATTTTTAGCTTTTAACAATAGTTTGAACAATTTACAACAAAAAAAAGGTTATTAATTGTAAATCTTTGCGATAATTTATAAAATTGTGATAAAAAAATTACAAAATGTCACTTTTTAGCGATATATATAAAAAATCGTCTAAAAAAATGATTTTTATTTACAATTTTACCACGATTAACTTTCAATAGGATTTAAAGGAAATTAAACCAAACTATTAAGAAGTATTAATAGTTTATTTAATAAAAAAATAAATTTTTATATGAGACCATTCCATTTTGGATTATTTACTAGTAAATTCCATTCCACAATCAATTATACCAATCAGTCCCAACTTTAAACTTTTGATCCAATAAGTCCTACTAGTAGAGAGATTTGGTCCTTTTCAGCATATTTTTCCATGTACATCGTCGTGGTGTGGACAGTTATACCCTTCTGTGTTTTTGATTGTGCGTGATTCGTGAGAATACGTTTTCTTTTTTGTTATGTTGGATAGTATTTTGGGTAACCCAAATGTTACTTCAGCAGATGACTCTGCCATTGCCGTTAGGGTTTCGGACTGGCTATGCGGTGGGCTCAAAGGTGGTGGTGTGACGGTGTGACATACGTACTATTTCAGCCGTTGATGGTGTACTGGTGTCACATACGTAGCAGTTCAGACGTCGGCACCTCCGTCTGTTTGCAGGTCGGCACCTCCGTAGCAGTGCATTGGTTTCTTTGCATTGGGGGGTTGTGTGACTGTAAGGGGTATGTGGAGCAGGGTTGGTTGTGTGTTTTGGTTTTGGGGTAGGCGTCGTGTTACTATGGTTTGGTGACAAGTCGATTTCCCTGGTGTGTGGGTGTGTGGGTGTGTGTATCGATGTGTATTGCATTGTAAATGTGATTTTCTCAAATTGCAAACAATACCAACGACGCTATCAGTTTGCAAACCCCATTCCAATTTGATGATACGTACGTACTATTTCAGCAGTCGATGATACGTACATACTATTTGTGGGTGTGTGTATCGGTGTGACATACGTACTATTTCAGCCGTCGATGGTGTGCTGGTGTCACATACGTAACAATTTAGACGTCAGCACCTCCGTCTGTTTGCAGGTCGGCACCTCTGTAGCAGTGCATTGGTTTTTTCGCATTGGGGGGTTGTGTGACTGTGAGGGGTATGTGGAGCAGGGTTGGTTGTGTGTTTTGTTTTTGGGATAGGTGTCGTGTTACTGCGGTTTGGTGACAACTGAATTTTCCTAGTGTGTAGGTGTGTGTATCGATGTGTATTGCATTGTAAATGTGATTTTCTCAAATTGCAAGCAATACCAATGCTGCTATCGATATGTATTGCATTGTAAATGTGATTTCCCTGGTGTGTGGGTGTGTGGGTATGTGTATCGATGTGGGTGTGTGAGACACATGTAATGTTGATTTGTTGCTCTGGCAATACCAACGCTGCTATTAGTTTGCAAGCCTCATTCCAATTTGATGATATGGTGAATAGTGTGTGCGAGTTGGTGTTGTGTGGCACATGCCAATTGACTCACACAACCAATAAAGCAAAAAACACCTTAGTGCACTCTTACGTTGTGCGACACCCACCCGATATGAACGTACCCATCACCCAAACCCAATAACCATGTAACACATGCGCGTGATCAATTACACCTGTTACGCTTACACCAAAAACACGTACTAGATGGCACTATTGTCATTTCACAAACGAAAGGACCAAATGGGACATTAAAAAACATACGAGACTATTTAGATCATAAGTTCAACAAATAAGAGTTATTTGGTAAATTTTCCTTCTATTTTAAGCAAATATCGACATTTGTAATTTACGTTGATTTAAAAAACAAATAAAACCAAAAACGAACACACAGAGTGGAAAAAAAAATAAAAATTGAGAATTGAAATGATGAAATGCAAGTGGTAAAAGTCGTCTTCTCCACTGGCCGACGGCTTTTCCAAATTTTTTCATCACTCTCTCACCTTCCCTCGTCCCTCCCTCTCTCTCTAAATCGCAGTCTCTCTCTCTCTCTCTAAACGAACATTCTCTCTGACAATTCCACATCGATCTTCAACAAGATCTCGCTCTTCTTACCCCCTTCGATCCCCCAACGAACGGCCACGATCGAGCGAGCGAGGGAGAGAGAATCGAAGGAGTCGCACTCGCACCGGCGCAGAGGCGTCCTCTCGGCTGGATCTGAGCAGAGATGGCGTTGTCTGGCATGAGAGGTCTCTCCGTCTTCATCAGCGACATTCGGAATTGCCAGAACAAAGACCAGGAACGCCTTCGCGTCGACAAAGAGCTCGGCAATATCCGTACTCGTTTCAAAAACGAAAAGGTTAGGGTTTCTCAATCGTCAACAAAGCAATTTTGATCTACAATCCTGTGTTTCATATAGTTGAAGAGTAATGAAATTGTTCCAATTATTTGCATTTATTTTTTAGGGCAGTTTTGATTAAACCATGTGACTTTTTTTTTTTCTTTTGTTAAAATTGGACGAGTAGGGTTTTGATTTTCGAACTGTAATCAACATTTCTGTATTAGGTTTTGGACAACTCTTTAATAAGCTAATTTAGCAGAGACTTGAATTTAGTAATAGTTGAATGCGGAGTTGTATTGGTTGGGTCTGTTAGTACTTAGTAGAGTAGATGGAGAAGAGTTTGATGTGCCAAGCAAAAAAATACGGACTTCAGCTATCTCTTTATAGTTCACAATTTTTTTATCTGGGATCCATGTATGAAAAGGTGCTGGTATCTCTATGAAGGTTCTTTTCATTGAATGTGCGGCCTAGATGAATGGGATGATAATTGATCTAGAGTTATTGGTAGTTAGTCCTAAAACCTTAAGGGTGTGTTTTATTTCAGGATAACTACATAGGATTGAACTATTAATCCTATCAGATTCATATTCGTACATTTGGATTACACAAATAGCATCCGGCTTAGCCATACGTAGGATTCTTAATCCTACAAAATTGCAGTATATTTAATACCAAAGGAGGGTAGGTATTAACAATCCCACACATAATTATTCCATGAGATTATTAATCCCATCACTAATACTCCACCTAATTAAACAGGGCCTAATGTCTGTATTTGGCCTGTAGGCTACAAGCAATATCTTTGTCAAAACTGACTAATGATGAAGAAATACATTCCATTTGGACTTGCATCGAGTATGGGAAACATGTGGAGACAATAGGTTCCATTTGGACGTGGAAGATAAATTTCTAAGTCGACAGATTCCAAATGTGAAGCCCATTTATCATTATTGATTGTATCAATGAAGTCTAAGAAACACGGACACGGACATAACACGGACATGCGGACACTTAAATTTTTAAAAAATGTAGGACACGACATATGCAAACAATATAATTTTATATATTTATTATATGTTATATTTTTAAATGTTTAATATATATTTTTATGTCAAATATTTAATTTTATCAAATTTAGCCTCGTTTGTCAACTATACATTTTAGTCAAAAAGTTACTATAAATTGTCACATCATTCTTCATACTTTTCTGCATATCTTTTTGTAAAAAGTCAAAAAATTACTAAAATAACATGTTCCCAAACGAAGCCTTAATCTTTAGGTATGTTATTTTAATAAAAAATTAATTTTTTTTTGGAAAAAATAGTCCCCGGCGTGTCTATAGCATGTCCCAAGTGTCTTAGCATGTTCGACATGTGTCTGGCGTGCGTCCATATCTGACACGTGTCGGACCCTCGTACATGACTTTCGGAGAGGTGCCTGTCCTTCATAGAATGAAGTCATATTTTATTCATTGCAATGAAATTCTATAGACATCCAACACAACATAAGAGTGCATATGGGTAATGGGATATATGTTGGGTTTTGAACTACTGAATTTAAGATGTTATAGATATGCATATACACACACCCCTTGTATTTTTTTGTGCTATGTTAGTTATTCTTGCTAAATTATTCTCACATTTTAGAAAATGGAGATAACCTTTTGGTGATGTTTATATTTCAATTTGAAATTCTAATCAATGTTAAACGTCAAATGCTCTCACTGAATGGATGACAAATTAGAAATCTTCGGGTTGAACATTATGTAGTGAAGGTATTATTTTTTGAGTATATTTGCTGAACATTACGGTAACGCTTTTGTGTCATATGGGTCCTGTGGAGGGAAAGGAACCCACACACCTTTGAAGATAATGAGACATTAGTGTAAAAGTTTATATTGTGTTTATTGCATAATTTTTCATTTTTGTGTGTCAAGAAAATCTTTGTAAATCCTCTTTTACTGGTATAGATTTTCCAGGAGAACCTTGCTTTACAAATAAATAATAAAAAATTGTAGGCGAACCCAATCTTGGTGTTGGGCTTTTTTGAATTTGTATAGTCTCTTTGTATAAAGGTTGCACCCATTAGGCGGCGCCCTCTATAAATTACTTTTTTTCGCAAGGAAAAAAAGTAGCTGATTCTTATTATCAAAGTGTGATATATAATTCCATGAATAACTTTAGCACAAAATCTTGGCAATATTTTCTATTAGATGCATGGGGTGTCTTTTGTGAAAATTTGCATATTGAATCATGCATGCATATGCTTGAAGTATTTGGGCAAGTAAAGATTGCATGCAGTGTGAGGCACCTTGGTAGAAAGAGCTTGGCAAAATAATTGTAATATGGGGGATGAGATGCTTATTCTTGAAGGGGCCTGAACATGAAAACTCAGGTTTCCACAAAGTCAAGAAGCCATATAATGGAATGCTTTACTGGTACGGAGAGCTAAAGAAAAGTGGTAACTCGAGGATATAGGGGACCAAATTATGAACAAATATGATGTAGTAGAGCTTTAAGAAACTTAGATTGAAACTTCTTGTAATTGTGTTTTGTGATGGATTTGGGGCAAATCAAGCTGTTAGGTTTAGGGGTTTTAAAAGGCAGAGAAGAAAAGTTTAGGATTTGACAGTGGGAAGGAGTTGTAATTGGCTTGAATTTATAAGTGGCTGATTGTTTTATATAGACAATGAGGCACTGTAAGCCCTTCAAATATTTTACAATGTTTTTTTTAGTTGTGTTAAATGAAAGGGCAATAGGCATGTGAGGGAGATAGGGTTGATAGAAGGTTGATTGGAAAGAGTTATGTAATTGAAAGGGGTTCTTTGTATGGATAGCAATATGAAACAATAGTTCACAATTTTTTTACAAAAGAGAATGAGAAAAGAAGAAAAAGGGAGGAAGGAGGCTGCATAGTTGCAAAGTTGAGTAGGATTACACAAACACTCTCAAATTCTCATTTCTTAGTTGTAATTCAATAGAAAGACCACATGCGCATTTATCGGATACTATAATTGTCATATTTTCTCTAGAACTAAACCTAAGGGTCCATTGGTACCATTTTAATTGTTCTCATTTTTCTTTTTTCAATTTTCATTTTTTTAGGTTCAAAAAATAAGAAACTGAAAATACATCGTTATTTATCAATTTTATTTTTACGTATACAAAATTTCAATAATTTGGGAATTAAACAATTTTTCAAAATGTTTTTTTTTAATAGATTTTGCTAAAAACACATTTGGAAATATTTTTGCTAGGCTAGTGGTTGATGTGTTGGCTAGGATGATTGATATGGCCAAGGAGGTTGATTTAGTGGATGGTTTTGTAGTACGGAGGGATGACATTTTGGTGTCTCACTTATATTTGTGAAGGTTAAGTTCCAAATCGCTTGAGTACTAAAGTAATGTTAAGCATATAAGTGAGGGCACTCTCACTTCAGTAGCTAGCTTTTGGAGTTGAGTTCTACTCAAAATCATGTAACATGGTATCAGAGTTGGAGTACTCAGCGATGGGTAAGGTTCGTGTCCCTGGCCTACATGCCGTAGGTGCTACCGAGTGAGCATGCTGGGCGTGAGGGAGGGTTTGAAGTTTAGTCTCACATCGCCTGAATACTAAAGTAATGTTAAGCATATAAGTGTGTACTGTGTAGGCACCCTCACCTTAGTAGCTAGCTTTTGGGGTTGAGTTCTATCCAAGACCGTGTAACAGATCTATCCCTTTTTCTTTTATTGACGAGGATAAGATGGTTAATTTGCTATGTTTTGAGGATTTTTGAATTGATTTATGTGCCAGGGTTAATTTGAGTAAGAGTGCAATAATGAGGCTTAATGTTCTATAGAATAGACTGCAAGGAATGGTGGTTCAATTAGGATATCCCATTGAATAATTGCCTTTGAAGTACCTAGTGCTACCTTTTGGGTAATCATTGGTTGAATTCTAATTGGGGTTCAGCTGTGTGGAGAAGATTCAGAAAAGATGGGAAGGACGGAAGAGAGCTTTGATATCTAAGGGGGTAGATTTACTTTGGTCCAATCTGTCTTGTCAAGTATGCCTATGTATTATTTATTTTTTCTTAAGGTTCCTATATGGGTGGCTAATAAGATTGAAAATTTGATGAGGGGAAGAAAGATCGTTTGATTAGTTAGGAGGTGGTTTCTTCACCAAAAACTAGTGGGGTTTTGGGGTTGAGAAGTATTTTACTAAGACAAATCTTTACTTTCAGTGTATTTGGAGGATTGCGTTGTGACTTGGCCTTTGGTTATTGATATATATATTTTTTTTCTTGCTATTTTGACAGGGTTTGACACATTATGAAAAGAAGAAATATGTTTGGAAAATGCTTTACATCTTTATGCTTGGTTATGATGTTGATTTTGGTCACATGGAAGCTGTTTCTTTAATATCTGCACCAAAGTATCCAGAGAAACAGGTGTTGTATCCAATCTATCTTTCTAATTTCTTTTACAATATGCTTACCCATTCTTGTATTATCACATACTGGTTTCTTCAATGGCATTGTAAGTGACATGCAGTCAACTTGAATAAGTTGACTCATCGAGTGTAGAGTTGTTGTATGGTGAGTAATGGTGCCTCATAATTATCCTTATGATATATGTTGATCCATAAAAGTATATCTGTAATGAGATTATGGCCCTTGATTGAGCATAACGAGAATCGCAAAACAAGATTATGTAATCAACCCAAATAGTTGTTAATTTTCAACTTCAAAATTGGTTAATTAAGTATTTCAAAACTAATGTTAGTACTTAATTTCCTTTCTTACAGATTCTATTTTATACTTGGTGAAAAGTTGTCAAGCTTGCCATTGCGCTTCTCATCTCTCATAGATATACCTTGCTTTGGTTTTCAGCTCTTGAAACTGAAACTTCTAGTTAACTATAGGTTGAACAAGTTTTCTGATTTTGGTTATCAAATGGGAGCATTTATCCTTCGGTGTTTTGATTGCTTAGCTGAGTCAGCTTTGTCCAGGAAACGAATTTTGTGTATGCTTGCTCTGTTAGAACGTTGGATGATAATCCCAAATTGAAGAAAGAAAGATATTGTAAAATAGAAATGTGGAAGTTGAAATTGGATATTATATCATTATAGTTTGGGAATGCGATTTATAGTTAAAGGATATGTGCATGTTGCTTTATTTGGCAGTGCTTATATATGCTAAAAAAATTTCTTGTTTTCTGTGTTTTGAAAAGGGTTTATGACTCTCTACTTAATCTTTCTGTGTTTTGAAAAGGGTTTATGACTCTCTACTTAATCTAACTTCTATCATGCTACCAATTGCTGCAGGTTGGGTACATAGTGACATCGTCTTTGCTCAACGAGAACCATGATTTTTTGAGATTAGCAATTAATACTGTTCGCAATGATATTATTGGTCGGAATGAAACTTTTCAGTGCCTGGCATTGACTTTGGTATGGCTACAGATTAACTGTTTTACCTCGATCTTTAAAATAACGGCACTTTTAATTGTTTTCACTTTGTTATAATGCATGTATACAACTAGTTGTGTAAATCGTGCATATATACATTACAATCATCTTGGCATATTCTAGCTATGTATAATAACCAGATCCTATACTTCTTGCAATATATGCATTCAAAATCTCTGGAAACTACTTTACAATCTTACCAACTTCCATTTGTTGTAAATACTTGTGCAGGTTGGGAATATTGGTGGGAGAGATTTTGCAGAATCATTAGCACCTGATGTTCAGAAGTTACTTGTAAGAGGAAAACATTTGTGGAGTTAAGTTGACACTAATGTGATGTGAATGATGGTAACCTTTATTTTTCCTTCAGATTTCTAGTAGTTGCAGACCACTTGTGAGAAAGAAGGCTGCTCTGTGTCTCCTTCGCCTGTTCAGGAAAAACTCTGATGTTGTCAATGTAGATGGCTGGTAAGCACAACTGTAGATTTTTTGAGGCAGAAAGTTCTTGGAGTAACTTAGCTTAAGCTTTTATGATTAAGTCTTTTCACCTCATTTCAGGTCAGATCGGATGTCACAGCTGTTAGATGAACGTGATCTGGGTGTTTTGACTTCTTCTATGAGCCTTCTTGTTGCTTTAGTGGCTAATAACCACGATGCATATTGGAGTTGTCTTCCAAAGTGTGTAAAAATATTGGAAAGGCTGGCCAGGAACCAGGATATTCCACCAGAATACACTTATTATGGTATCCCATCTCCCTGGCTTCAGGTTTGTATCCCTCCTTTAAAAAACTTTATTCTATTAGATGATCAGGGCCATAAGTTAATACAAAGACTGGCCAGTCCAAGGATGTTGTTGAGCAGGACAAATCTAAACTCAAAGCTAAAATTTGAATGATCTCCTCTACTGGTTTTAGGACATGGATTAGGGATTACACATGTCCAAAGGATGAGAAAAGGAAACCCAGGAAGATTGCACATTTTTTTTACTAATCACGATATTGATGAATGGCCCAATAAATATTCTATAGAAATATTGCGAATAATTGAAGGAATTGAGCCAAAGAAACAACCAAATTGTGTCCAATTCATACACATGGATTTGTTATGTGGATCTACGTATGATGAGAAAAAATGGAGTACACCGGTGACATATATCATTTTCCTTGGAATTAATGCAAGCTGAATGTTTGAATTTCACTCTATTTGTGTCTTCAAAGTAATAGCCTTATGAAAGTGACTGATATATAGTTAACATACCTTCATTTGTTCCTTAAAAACTATTTGGTCAGTGCAGGTTAAGACAATGAGGGCTCTTCAATATTTTCCTACTATCGAAGATCCAAACACTAGAAGAGCATTGTTTGAGGTTCATTTTTTTCCAAGGTAATCATTTATTTGTCATTAGATTTCATAGTTTTAAAGATTTCTTTTTTGGTGATTCTAGGTTTTACAACGGATTCTAATGGGAACCGATGTTGTGAAAAATGTGAACAAAAACAATGCATCACATGCTGTTCTCTTTGAAGCCCTTGCTCTTGTAAGTTAGCATCTCTTTCTAAGCTGATTAGTATGTTAAAGCTGCAGTACGATATATATGGCTAAGGTGTTTTTTTTTCATGACCTCATATATTATATATGCAATTCATCCTGTAAGTTTTAAGTTATCTCACTTTTAAATGTTCTTCATGCATTAATATTAACAGCAATGGACTCCAGAAATTGAATATGGTATCATAGTATCTATTTGTGTATATTTTGGTTTGCATATCTGCATGCAAAATAGCAAAAGAATTGAGCAAACAAATAGGGTGATCTTGTCATTTGATTCCTTTCTTGGATGTCAATTCTACGGATATATGATGTGTAAATGTGGAAGGTTTTCTTTTTCTTTTTTTAATTTTGTACATATAGAAGTGCCCCATCAGCACCTTTTTCCTTGTATAAATTTAATTTTTTTAAAAAGAAAAAGTTACATGGAGACATTTACGGATCATAAGATCTTAGACCTCTATAGATTTGTACCAGAACCCTTGTGGATCCCTAATGCACTCGGTAAATCCAATTGATAGATTGTGGGAACAGGGAAGCAGACCTTACGATGAATAGGGGTGCAACTTGGGTGGGCTCAACCCGAGGCCAACCCGAATTTTTTTAGGACTTGGACAAGATATTTTTAAATTTGGTATGGGCTTCAACAAAAATTCAAAAACCCGAATTAAATTTGGACAAACTTGGGCAAAGACGTCAAACAACCCGAGCAATCCGAAACCCGAATTATACATATATAGATAATAAAAATATTAAATATACATATAAGATATTAGCCATTACATGATATGAATGTAATTTAGATTATTAAATCATACCATTGAATATAAATTATATATACAAGTAACACAAAATTTTACAATTTTTATTCTCACTTATCGATTGTAAAGACTACTATAGCGGCATCTCTCTTACATTGTATAAATTATTTGTTTTGATGTTATTAATGATTTTCTTAAAAAAAATGTAAGAAAAGTCTAATTTTAATAATTTCACTGCCAAAAAGAAAAAAACTAAAATTCATTTACAATTCGGGTTTTAACTCTGGTCGGGCTTGAGCGGACAACCTCAGGTTACAATTTGGGCTTGGGTGGGCCTAGGCAGGTCTCAATACAACTTGCGTTGGGTTTGGACAACCTCCCAACCTGACCAAATTCGCCTGAGTTGCACCTCTAACAATGAATAAGAAACTTTTAATATTCTCTGAAAGAGATAAAGAAAGAACCTTATGGTTTGCCGACTCTTCGAAATGTTTTTGAACCCTTTCTAATGGATGCAGTTGGAATTTTATAGAGAGAAAGGATAAGTAACAATGTGTTCAACCTTTAAATTGCCTAAATCTTTCATGGTTTCTATTTTCATCATAAATAATGGTGTTGAAATAAGCAGGATACTAAACCATATCATAAAGGGAGATGCTTTTGAAATAAAAGGAATACTAAGCTGTATCACAGGAGGAAACACTTGCAAGGGATTGAAAATGCTTATACTTTCCATAAGGAATTTGTGTAACTATTCTCTTTGAGATAATTCTGATCTCTGCGAGCATGTGTGTGTGTGTGTGTGTGTGTGAGAGAGAGAGAGAGAGAGAGAGAGAGATGAATTCCCAGAATTAGCAAAAGGAGCCATACAATTCCAATTTGTCATGATGTTCCAGAGGAAGATGCTTTGGAACTTGTCAGAGAAAGAATTTAGGAGGTGATTGTTTTATCCTCTACTGAAAAATCGAGGGTATAATTTCTACTTTTTAACTTTGATCACTGAGAATGAAGAAGTATCCTGCAAGTTTCTGCCCCTAAACCCACCCAAACCTCAAAACACTGAAATTGGTTGGGAGTAGATGTTCCGAGGCGAGCCTAAAGCATACCGACTTAAAAAAAGACATAGGTTCATAATGAGTGCATGGTAGATGATTGATTGTTTCATCATCATCTCTGCCCGTAGCAATTGTTTCGGGAGAGTTCTTCACCTGTTTGCAAATCCCAGGAGTACGAATCCAATTAAGAACTGTGGCTTCTCACAGGTACCTAGGTTTCTAAATTGTTGCAAGGGAAAGGAGTGGAGGATTATCAACTTGGATGAGAAATAACTTGTGTACTAAATAAACTTGCTGTTGTTTTGAGAGTATATTTCTTAGTTGAATTCTTTTGCTTTAAGTATAAATAGAAATTAATTTATGTTGTTTCTTGCTGAGCTGAAGCAACACTAGGGTGTTCACTGGAGAAGTTGGTTTAGATGTCCACAATGTGCTGCAGGGGAAACAAATTAGAGGATGATCAACTTTAAGAATAGTCTATTTGTGTAGTGGAGAGTTGCTGTCAATTTGGAAACATCTTTTATTATTGAATTGTTTTGTTTTATTTTTATCTTTTGAATAAGTATTACTGAATAGTTTTCTTTACTGTGATCCAAATAAAAGTTTTTTAATCTCTTTTTTCTTTTTTATTGATTTATAATTCATTGCTTGTAAAGTTGTGATATACGTAATTATAAATTCTGAAACTATTTTTAAAACTTCGACTTCTAGCTTGAGGAACTATAAGCTGGTGGTTAGATTTCTGACAAGTAGGATCCAGAGCATGTTAGATTTCATTGAAACCTCTACTAATGATAGTGATGATCACTTCTCAAAGTTTGAAAGTTTTTTTTATTCAAACATATTCATCAAAAAGAAAAAAAAAGGAAGTTTTTTGTTCAAACATAATTTTGCTTATGATAAGAGTTGTGAATGCGTTATCAACCTCGCTGCTATCTTTTTTCAAGAAAAGTTTATTAAAATATAATGAAATGGGTAGTGGGGTACTTTTGTTGATTCTACATGCAACGCTTGGAGGTTTGATTATATAGTTTTATATCACAGAGTTACATCTCAGTATCAATGAATTGCCAGCCAACCAGTGCCGCGGCTTAAGTAGTTTCTCAGCAATTTTTACATCTTGTGCATTTTGTGTCTTACAGTTACTAATAACACAATGCATTGTTTGCCCTCTCTCTCTCCCTCTCTCTCTCTCTCACACACACACACACACGGGCAGTTTTGTATGGGTAGGTTTAATCTGCTTCACCGTGCTAAGGTTTTTGAGGGGTTCTTTGTGGTTTTATGTGTTCTAATCGCCTTATCACAGGTCATGCATCTTGATGCTGAGAAAGAAATGATGTCTCAGTGTGTTGCCTTGCTTGGGAAATTCATTGCTGTTCGTGAGCCAAATATTCGATATCTTGGTTTGGTAAGTTACGGGAACACAACAGTTCTTATCTCATTGATGCAACTTATGTTCAAAGCATGCCAAGTTGTAGTATGCAAATGTCAGAATTTGGAAGGTTTGATCTGGTTGTTTTCATCTGGTTGCATGATTTATGGATTGATCTGATGCAGGAGAATATGACCCGGATGTTGATGGTCTCAGATGTTCAGGACATTATTAAAAGGCATCAATCACAGATCATCACCTCCTTGAAGGATCCAGATATCAGGTTAGTTTAAGTGCTTTGTAGTTTTTTGGAGATACTTTCTGCTTCTTCACCACGAGGCACAATGATCGGTTACATGGTAAGCAAAAGCAACATTAAATCTGTATTTAATACTGTACAATGCCTATGTTATCTGCATGAACTTGTTGAGAAATTTATTGCTTATCTTAGATGTGTAAAATCAGCTTGACTTGTATCGTAGATGCTGAGCTGATTATATCTTTTCCTGGCATTCTAGATTGCACTCTGTAGCTCCAACAATCTAAAATGCTCACCTAAGCAAACAGTGATGCATTAATCGGGCTGCTTTTCATTACTGATTATTAATGATATTTGAGCTTGTAGGCTTAAGTGTTACCCAGTTGGACTCCCAATCTTTATGTCAGGGGCACAAGTCCCCTTGATACCTACGCATATAAAAAAATATATATATAGTCATTATTCTAAATTCATTCGTAGTGCTAGTATGCTTGTTTATGTACCTATGATTTACTGACAATGATTTAACCCTCATAGTATTCGGAGACGTGCTCTTGATCTGCTCTATGGCATGTGTGATGTTTCAAATGCAAAGGACATAGTTGAAGAATTATTGCAGGTACCATACTGCTGTTCGCAAACAGTTAACTGTCTTTGATTTCAGTTGACATTTACTTAAAATATATATAGTTGGCCGTAAATGATTCTAAAAAAGTTCCTAACCAAAACACAACAAACATGTCGCTGACAATTATCTGTTTTCAGTATCTCAGTTCAGCAGACTTTGCAATGCGTGAAGAATTGTCGCTAAAAGCTGCAATTCTTGCTGAGAAGTTCGCCCCTGACCTGTCATGGTAAGTATTGTATTTCTATAGAAGTGGGAGAGCATATATTCCCTTGTTATATGTAGCTGCATATCATGAAACTGCTGGTGTCATTTCTCACATGTATAGCTGGCATGGGCATAACTCATAAGTGAGCTGATGTATGGTTTTAAATCATTAATCTCTGTTCTGCGTCAGCATAAAATTAGCTACTGTTGTTTCCAACTACATTTGGTTGGAGGGTGCAAGAGAAGTGATAGCTAGGTTTTGCCATATGTAAGCAGTAGCTGTTGAGTTTGATTCCTGGCCTTGCATATGAGGTCAATAAGCTATTGAAAATCGAATACTTGTTTGTGATATTTTGTTGTCCTGCTGTTCCTTTTGATCTGTGTGTTATTGGTAGCAAAGAAATAATACTGATGGATCCTATCAATTTATACTTCCATTACTAAAACTAGTTCCACTAATCGTGAATCTTTCCAAGTATCCAAATAACCTTATTTTTTGGTTGAAAATGAACTAGATTTCTGTGCCATTATGACAGTTTTTAAGGCCATGAAGTATTGAACCATATGGATTCTCGTTTTTTTTTTTTTTTTAAAATCTATGTGCCAGTATTACTGTTCATTTCCACCCCATTGCTCAATGAGCATCAAGAACTGAAATCTATCTGTTTTCCAACATAGATCAGAGATTGTGACGTCAAAATTATTGGGCTGGGATGAGGGCTGTAAGGTTTACACAACCAAGCTTGTTGATAATTTATATATCATACTATTTGGTTATAAATGAAACACAAAATTTAAATACTTAAAAAACTGTTGCTCTACAATTTTGTATATCCAATTTTTTGTTGATCATACCGCAGTAAAATATTTGATTCGAATAATTCTTCCTGAGCTTTCCGAGTTTTTATTTAATCAGATATTGCAAAATGTTTATTTATATATTTATTTATAATGTACATTATTGAAGGGACATCCTTTTGTTATTGTATATGCTACTTATGCTATCATTCTTTTCTAATCATTGTGCAGGTATGTGGATGTGATCCTTCAGTTGATTGATAAAGCAGGCGATTTTGTCAGTGATGACATTTGGTTTCGTGTTGTGCAATTTGTTACGAACAATGAAGACCTACAGGTGACTAAAACTTTTCTTACATATGCTTCATTATTTGTCTTGTCTTTTTATGAAATTCATTCATTCACTATTTGCCTTACACTTTTTATATTTCATTAGCTTTATGCAGCAGTAAAAGCCAGGGAGTATCTTGATAAGCCTGCTGTACACGAGACAATGCTCAAGGTGTGTATATGTAATTTTTTTTATGATTCATAAAGCTGTGTATATTTTGCCCATGATTCATTTACATTTTCTGATAAAATGTGAAAAAGAATATATTTTAACTCAAACATTAGAGCTAATGTTTAGTTTGACCCTTTGGTGCTGATACAACCCGACATTGTTGTGGTACACACTTTTAGTTTAGCAGTAAATGCATTTTATTGATATTGCATGTTGTTGACATGAAGAATAATGACTTTGTTAAGATACTGATGCCTGTCCCTTGAGCAAGATGCTGTCATAGTTTAGCAGAAGCCCATTCTGTTGCACTATATCTGTTGGACTTGGAATCTGTGGCTTTTTGTATTAGGCCTTACAAAGTGGTATTTTTGTTTTTTACAGAATGGGCATATTTTGGATTTTGCCAGCTCTGAACTACCTTCTTATGTTTAATATTGTGTCCTCTCTTTGATAGATTAATTACCAAGTTCCTAACCATTTCATAATTTTTTATTTAATTAATCAAGTTATTTATTTATTTATTTATTTTGGATAAGTAAAAACCATTTCATAATTTAATTACGCATCCCAAGATTAATTATCGAGGAACTTTTTTTGGATCAAATCAATTGCAAGGCATAATTGTATTTGGGCATTGGGTTTTTTGGGAGCAGGTCAGTGCTTATATCCTTGGAGAATACAGTCACCTTCTGGCCAGACGGCCTGGGTGTAGTCCAAAGGAGATTTTTAGCATCATACATGAGAAGCTTCCTACTGTTTCGTAAGGGCACTTGAACTTCTGCTTTCTTGGTAATATTTGTTGTTCATCATTTAAGTAACTTAATGGACATTATGCATCATCAGGACTTCTACGATTTCCATTCTTCTTTCAACATATGCTAAGATTTTAATGCACAATCAACCCCCAGACCCAGAATTACAGAATCAAATTTGGGCAATTTTTCACAAGTGAGTTTTAACCCATTCTGGATTGTAATTTTTTCCTTTCATTTATTTGGAGCTTGTGGTTCATGCTTTCTCACAAAATGCCTTGAAATTCTTTTACACTGTCTTGCCCTTCTTTCTTTCCAGATATGAGAGTTGTATTGATGTTGAGATACAGCAAAGAGCTGTTGAATATTTTGCATTGAGTAGGAAAGGTGCAGATTTAGTGGATATATTGGCTGAAATGCCTAAATTCCCCGAGCGCCAGGTATGTGATCTACAACATTTGAGTACAATCGGATTCAGCCCAATTTCTTTTAAGAATTGTTAGCCCAGTTTCTTTTAAGAATTGTTAGCCCAGTTTCTTTTAATATATATGTATACATGTGCACATATGTATATACATGTATGATACTGTTTATGACACTGATAGTAGTATTTTCTTTTGTATTTAGTCTGCATTGATTAGAAAAGCTGAAGATACTGAAGCTGATACTGCAGAGCAAAGTGCTACTAAGTTGCGGTCACTGCATCAAACTTCTAATGCATTGGTAGTGACTGACCAACGCCCTGCCAATGGAGTGCCACCTGTGAACCAGCTTGGTCTGGTGAAAGTGCCCGACATGAGCAATGTGGTGAGACATGTTTGAGCAGGATTTTATGAACCATAGAGTTGACAATTTGAGATTCTATTAATTTTTGCTTCACTTAGAAACTGATCAGGGGTTGACTATTTGGACAGGATCATAACTCAGCAGATCAAGGGGTGACTGAGGCGAATGGGACTCTGACTGTGGTGGATCCACAACCGCTTGACCCTTCAGCTGATGTCCTTGGTGATCTCTTAGGTCCACTGGCTATTGAAGGACCTCCTCATGTTGCTGCCCAATCTGAGCATAATTTGGTCTCTGGAGCAGAAGGTGCTCCAAATGCAGAAGATGCTCTAGCACTCACACCTGTTGAAGAGCAGAAAAATACCATCCAGGTTTCTGTTGCTTTATTACATGCCTTATTGATTGGGTTCTGATTAATCATTTATTTGACTTCTTGCTAGACTAGGATATCTAAGATTCATATGCCAAAATAGAGTTCGTAACTGCAACTTGTTTAGTTTGTCTGAATTTTTGAAAATTGCTTAACGTGATCAATAAACTCAGTGTTGGTTTTCTGATAAACCCCTGAAACTTTTGGACATGTGAACCTCTTTGAATAAGTAATGTCTTCTCTAACATATACTCTATTCTTGCTGCTCAATCATGTACCAATGAACTTATTTCCTCTAACAAGCACCAAGATGTTTGGTTTAGTGTGACTTGAGGCTAGTCACCCTTCCAATTGAGCAAGCATAACATGTTCTAGTCTATCTGGATCACTGACACCCAATTAGTTATCCTACAACTGGTAACCTTTAAGAATAAAGTACTTAGAAAAACTGGTCTCATATGCTTCTACCTAAATTTTTTTGAAAAGATTATGTTTTTATGAAACATCAAGCTGGCTGGTTCCGGTCCTGCTCAACCTGACAATATTCTAGCCACCCAAGCCCAAAGCTTTTCTGGGATGGGCACAGCTTTTCCTGCTACCCTATAGAGATAATAAGAATGATATTGTTACTCGTCTTAAATATTTTTGTTCTAGTGGTTAGGATATTGAGAACAGTATGCAAACGTAAATACTCTATATTTGTGGAACAGGCTTTTAATGACCATAACAATAATAATTTACCAGACCTCTTTTCTGGTTAATGACTGTTATACTAGAAGACTTGAATCCTTGACCATCATGCTTTGACCACTGTACAGGGGATTATTATCATTTTGACCTATTGTTTTCTATGTTCTGAATGGCTATGGGTATTTGTTGTTGATACATAAAGAAAAACAGACTGCACCGTATAGCAATTCCGCATTGCAATTTTATCTGGTTTTATCGGCATTTAGAAATTCTGATTAATAGCTTTACTGCTACGCATTATAAAGTAAAGACCAGACTTACATGTGCTATTTGTACCTTTGAGTTCTGAATGACTGATTCATAATTTTGCAGCCAATAGGAAATCTTGCAGAAAGATTTTATGCTTTATGCCTGAAAGATAGCGGTGTGTTGTACGAGGATCCTTATATTCAGGTATGCAGCCCTTTTGAAGATTTTGGGTTGACTGTTTGCGTATTGAAACATAATTGTTAAGTATTTTGTTATTGATGAAAAGAATCATCTCTGGTAATTATGTGAGTTGACAGTGATTAACCGAGGCTTGTATTAATTTTCTTTTAAATATTTTCCCAGATTGGCATTAAAGCGGAATGGCGCGCCCATCAGGGTCGACTTGTTCTTTTCTTGGGAAACAAGAATATTGCTCCACTAGTTGCAGTTCAAGCTGTGATATTGCCTCCCTCCCATCTGAAGATGGAGCTCTCATTAGTACCTGAAGTTATTCCTCCACGGGCACAGGTTAGACAACTGCTGATGCTTTTAATTATTCACAATCATGGTTGTTGGAATTTTGCAACATCAATTCATACGATTCAACAATACAAGTTTCAGCCAAAACGATTTGATTCGTCCTAGTAAACCTTAAATTGAGTGAATCTTATTCAATTGTGATTCAGTGCGATTCATTACGAGTCACTGTGATTCAATACTATTTACATTATGCATGAAATGACATTGTTTTTGTAAAATAAAAAAAGTGATTAATTAATTATATTGATATACGTGATTATATATATACTTGGTTGCTCCTCTAAGAGTTACCTAGTAGAAGGTATGACTATTCCTTATTCCATTCCTTCTTTTTATTACTAATTAGATAATAGAATCGGTATTTCTCATGATGCATCGCCTATTTATTGTTCTCGCTCGGGAGCCAAAACAAACACGCCTGCTACCTACTGTACTGGACCTTCGACCAGGCATTCTACCACACATATACAAGTAATTTAGTTATATTGATACTAAATGCACTTTAAATATTGTGTATTTTTATAAATTATATGTATATAAATATATATAATTATATATTATGCTAAATAACGCGAATCTTATTATTCACGATTCACTATTTTAGCAAACCAATTCACAATTCGATTTTTTATTTGATTTGACAACAAAGTTCATAATCACTGATTATTAGCTGGCTCTCGTGTGTTTTTTTTTTTTTTTTTTGTTAGTTCTTCTACTTCAATTGTGACATGTTTTTTTGTTGCTTAGGTGCAATGCCCTCTTGAAGTCGTCAACCTCCGCCCAAGTAGGGATGTAGCTGTTCTCGACTTCTCCTACAACTTTGGAACACATGCGGTATTGCCTATAAATGAGATTTATGTGGTATTTCCTAGGTGTAATTCTCGTAACTTCATGAATCTTATATTTGTCCTTCTACAGGTCAATGTCAAAGTTCGTCTTCCTGTTGTCTTGAATAAATTTCTTCAGCCTATATCAGTGTCTGCCGAAGAGTTTTTTCCCCAATGGAGATCACTTTCTGGACCACCTTTGAAACTTCAAGATGTTGTATGTACACTCTTACCTCCTTGTTGGCCTTTGTGTACATAACACGTGCCTAGCGTTCTGAATTTTATTTTACTGCTTTTGTTGGGTACTGTCATTTTTTTTTGGGCAAATATATATATAAATTTTTTCATCTTGCCTTTTTGTGTATGAAATTGGACAGGTTAGAGGTGTAAGACCAATGTCTCTCGCGGAAATGACAAACTTGTTTAACAGTTTCCGGTTGTTGGTTTGTCCCGGGCTTGTAAGTTTTTGATTCCTTCCACCTGGGACTCCCTCTATCAACTTATATAAAGTTCGCTTACTGTTTGATTTCATGCTTCAGGATCCAAATGCCAATAATTTGGTTGCAAGCACGACCTTCTATTCAGAGAGTACGCGAGCCATGTTATGCTTGGTAAGATTTGGCTTTTAATAGCTAGGTATTAGCTATCTACATTTATAGTTAATCCCGTCATTGCTATTGTTAAATATGCATTTGACAAAGAACCTTATGGTGCAGAAATGATCACATAGGTCCAGTACACCACGTGATTGCTTGCCCGTCCAATTTTGTTTTATGATTTGTCGACCATATTTTTATTTTTATTTTTATTTTTTGGGTCATACTAGCATTTAGCGCTCTGCTATAGATCAGGCACACAGCCAACATAGTATTCCCAAAATACAGAATGATTACTGATGGTGGGATATATAATGGTTAAACACCTAGTCTGAAAGTTCTGTGTCTTCATGCTTGGCTGAAGTCTACCTCGGTCAATCGTTCAAATTTTATAACCTTTTAGATGAAAATAGTTGCAGGAAAATTACTCTATATTGCTGTATTCTCTACTAGTTTATGAAAATTTTGCTGCTTATCTCTTGAGGGCTGAACTCACTTATAGACAAGTTAAAGCTGATGTAGCAAAAAATAACAAATGTCTTCACAATGTGATGCCAAATGATTTATTATTATTATTATTGGTGATATTCAGATAAGAATCGAAACAGATCCGGCGGACAGAACACAGCTGCGTATGACAGTTGCCTCAGGGGACCCCACACTAACACTTGAGTAAGCCTCCCTACTTTCAGGTTCCGACTTTGTAGAATTTAACTAAATTCAACTTGATGCCAAATTTGACTGACATTTGTACAGGCTAAAAGAGTTCATCAAGGAACAATTGGTTAGCATTCCTACAATTTCAAGGGCACCTGGTCCGGCAACTCCACAGCAAGCTCAACCAACCAGTGCTCCGACAGCAATATCAGATCCCGGCGCTATGCTTGCTGGTTTGTTTCAGTAAAAGTGAAAATGTGATTAATTCAAGATTTTTTTTCGACACTTTGTAAGACTCAGTATACAGCCTTACACCCATTATCTCCCCCGTCCCCAAAGTCAACAGGTGAGTTAAATAGAAATGCGATGCAAGGGCTATCGGACTTATGAGCGTATATGTGACCGGCTCAGTGTTTTTGAGTTGGATTTCTTAGGGGGGGTGGGATGGGTCAGGCGTTTGAGATGAGATTCTTTCTGCACAAATCATATTTGTGCCTTGTGAGTTTTTCCTATTTTGGGGTGAGGGTTGGTTGTCTTTTCTTTTTTTCTTTTTCCTCTTTTTTTTTTTTTTTCAATTCTATTACCTTTTCCTTGTTTTAATCTGGCGAGGTTTCAGTGGATTGGTATTCTGTAATATGAATAGTATGTGAGGTGGTGAATGAAGGTAGGATTGGTTGTAGCAAATTCATTTGTTTGTGGATATACATATTTATTTTTCCAATAAGAGCAATTATGAGGGGAAAGAAAAAATTAATGTAGCATTGATGTGCCTTTTTCTTTTCTTTTTTTGTTTTTGTTTTTGTTTTTGTTTTTGTTTTTGTTTTTGTTTTTTGGGTTTGTGATTTTGCTGGCTTAGGGACCTGAGATGTTTTGCTGTTGCATAAAATGTTGACCAAAAAAAATAGCTTACATGTCCCATGAATATATATAACAATTGGTGGAATATTACTGTGTTAAAGCTCCAAAAGGATGTTATGAAAAAAACCTACTCGGAAGAACTTTTCTGGCCTCTTTTCATTTGTTAAATATTATGGATAAGAGTTCTGCTGGGTAGCTCAAAACTAATTGCTCTGAACGGTTCGAAAATGCAAAATGATGTCGTTTTGTTCTTTTCTTTTTTTTTGCGTCTTCGTTTGCCTTCCTCCTCTCTTTTCTGGCTCAAACATTTGTGAACATCTAACAAACAAAACCTTCCCAAACCTACCAAACCCAAACAGAACATTTGTTAACATCAAACCTCCTCCATCTTCTTGTTTCTCTAAAACCTACAAAACCCATCACAACCCATCACAAAATTAAAGAAAACCCAACAGTCTACCAATCAAACCCAAAAATTAGACTTAAAAATCAAAACCATCATCATCAACAAACCCAACAATCAAAACCACCACGGATCATCAACAACACATCATCATCATCACCATCAACACACACAGAGAGAGAGAGATACACACCGAGAGAGAGAGGTACATAGATTTATACAGATCTGTGTATACACAGGATGGTGGTGGTGCCGGTGATGGTACTCTCTCTTCCCCCTCCCTCGTCTCTCTTCCTCTTTCTCTATCTTCTTCTCTCTTCTCTTTCTTCCTCCCTCTGTTTTCAGCACAGCGATAAAAGAGGGAAAGGCCAAAAAAAAAAAAAATCGGGTTGTTCGGGGGAACAAAATTTGAGGGGAAAATCATTTTCATATGGGAAAAAACTCGAGATGGCATTAGAAATAGTGATTCTCAAACTCGATCTATTCAATTTCTCATTCTTTTTTGGAAGGTCAATCTTCTTTACAATTTTAGCCCTCGTTTGCAAACTTGGTTATTTTAGTTGATTTTTTAACTATTTTATGAGATGAAAAATAAAATTGTGTTTAGAATTATTTGTAGATTTTTTTATAATTGAATAGACAGTTATGAAAAAGAAAATAATTAATTGATGTGTAAGATGTGATATTTTATCTTATTAATTATTTTAATTTTTTTTTATAATATTTATTGGCTATTTTAATCAAAATAGATATTTCCAAACACCGCAGGTGAACTTTCAATATGAACATTGACCTGGATGGCTAAGGCACTATTCTATTATGGTAACCAATTAGAGTACTAACTAATATATTAATACTAGTTATAACATTATTATTGACTCTACTTATTATACAAATTATAAATATCAAAAATATCTTAAATTATGTTACATCATTAATTAATACATCAATTAATACATATAGCATTATTCATTCTATTGATAGGCGTGATGTTTAAATTCCAATTTTTTTGCCAAAAAAATTAAGCTCAGTATCTAATTTGGATAAGTAGTTCAACGTCCTGCCTGTAATTCAAGAAGTAGAATTAGTTTCAACTCTGGCATTCGCACCAAAATGGCTTTCCCACCTCACTCACTCACTCTAGTTCCTTTCAATCTTCCACCGAGTAGGTAGAAGTTGTTGCCAAAGGGAGGAGGGTCGCCAGAGGGAGGGAGTGGTGGAAAAGTGAAACAAGTGTAATAGTTGAAGGGGCAAAGTGAAATGTCCCATTTTACCCACACAAAAACAACAACAAAAAAAATTCCCCAGAGACAAAATTCAAGACCCAATGGGCTAATTACTATGAAACTCAATAGTGCATTTCCAAACATTTGTTCTACAAAAAATAAGTATTGATAGCAAACAATCAATAGATTCAGAACTCCCAGGACCCAGTTCAAGTTTTACAGAAAAACTAGACATAAATATTTGATCTCTACCAAACAATCAAAAGATTCAGTCCTTCCTGATCTCAATTATATAAAAAGAAAATCCTGATTTACACAAAAGTAAAAAATAATCAGATAAGCTCCCCAAAAACATACCTGCTTATCCTAATGTGTAGATCTAAACAAGCCTACGATTGTAAAATCAGAATCTGAAGCAATGTCAAAATCTGAATTTCATCAGATGAGAGAACTTGCCAGAAAGCACATCATCTTCTCAGTAACTGCAACCACTAACCACCACCAGGGAAGCCCATCAAGTATCTGTACAAAGTGCTCAAGCTCTGAAAGTTCGCCATGAACCACAGGCAAAAAAAAAATCCATCCCACCAAAATAAAATAAAAAATCCACCATTAAATCTGCCCGTCCCAATCTCTTGTAAAAATGCGCAATCTCTCAACTATATGATCCATTTCACAACCCTCTTAACAGAGTTGAAGCAGACAAAATTCAAAAACCTGAAAAAAAAAAATAAAGTGATCAGCTACCGCCACCCCCGGCAGTTGCCACAGCTCCAATTTTCCTCCGAAGATGACTGCTCATCCCAGGGTGAACAACGGCTGTGTATCCATACCCCACAAATCTGGCAAGACAGATCAGGAGACGGTTCTGTGCAAGAACACACCTGACAAGTTGTTAGATCAACACCGGGTTTGACAGAAATTTTATGTTCTTGTTGATTGCTAGCACGGATTCCACAAGGCTCAGGAAATCCATTTGATGAAACTGCAGATAAACTTTGCCAATCCCCCATTACATCATCAGATGCTAGCAATTCTGTAAAAGAGAAATAGGTCTGGGGTTCAAATTCCATGTCCTCGTAGCTTAGGCCTTCATGGTCAAACAACATACCATCTTCAAAACTTTTAGAAACATCCGACGTCACACCAGGACACAACCCCTCTGCAGGAATCAAGACATGGTTCGGTTCAACGAGTGTGGATTGCTCAACCTGAGATAGATTATTTGCTGAGGTTCCATCTACATTATTTTCATTCTGTATATGCCTTCTAACTGTCAGTTTCCGGGGCCCAGTTCCAGAAGCAGTAGCAGTAACAGCATTACCTTCAACATCTATTTCCGATTTGGGTTTTGTAAATTGCTCAGCCATTGAAATAGAAGAAAGAGGGTTGTCCTCCTTCACACGCACTGCTTCCTCATTATTTGGCAACCCTGGAGGGGCAGATTCTAACTCTTTAGCTTGTTCAGACACAATTCCATAACCAGGGTCCGATTCTGAATTTGGAGCCCTTGAGAATGTCCTCTTGGCCTCATTTTTTGGCAACATTGGAGGGGCAGATTCTAACTCTTGAGTTTGTTCAGAAATGGTTCCATAATCGGGATCCGATTCTGAATTTCCTGCCTTTGGAGCCCTTGTGCGTGGCTTTTTAGCCTCTAATATTCTCTTGTTTTCTGGATCCATGTACGGGCACACAGGTGTTCTTATCCTACGGCATCTACAACATTTGAATCCCATCAAATCAAAAATTCTCGACTCCTCAAGTTCTACAGCATCAGCATGATACCAATCTGCAAATGATCAAAAATGAAAGTCATGAATGGCATAAATTAACAGAGAAACTGACCAACAGAGAGAGAAAGAGATGGAATTTATCAGGTAAAGCAGGCTTACTTTTGCATGTTTCACATCGAATATACATGAGATCGGAATTATAAGGCTTATGACACAGGTGACAAACAGGTCCTGGCCAGCTCATATCTGAATTGCCCCTCAAAAGAAGGTTTTTCAATCTGAAATCAATGCCATTATCTTCAAGGTTCTTCTTTTTCCATATCAAACCCCACGAACATAACCTGTGTCTGTTCTTTGCAGCCAAACTAGAACCACGCGGAGCTGATTTAATCTTCAAAAAACTCCCTAAATGTCCAACAGGTGTTGATGGTTGAATAAAACTTTTTTGCTTTGCACCTTTACTGACTGTAACTGCATTCTGAAATTCTTGCCCTTGCAAAAGTAAAGGCCTTGTTGATGATTCATTACTGTTTTCACTTTTGGGGATAGTTTTGGTAGGGCTACACCGTTTGCAGGTGATTAAGAACTCAACTTCGCCAATCCTTTGAATTGTTGAACTGATGGTACAGTCCTCATGACAAAAACCTGACCACAAAAATGGCAGGGTCAGTTCAGCAGTATTGACCAATTTCATCCATACAATAATACTCATCTATGATAAATATATATATATATATATATATAAGAGAGAGAATGTTAGAAGTGTCCCCAAGTTTTCAAAAATTCTTGTGAAAAAGTAACCAACATTGTCATCATCATTACGGCAGTAACATCTAACATGAAATTAGAGGTTAAACCAAGGCATCTACAATTATTTTTAGGTTGCACAACTGTCGATTATGAAAGCATTCTTATCTTTGCATTAGTATGACGAAGGTATAATACCATTTTTTTTCAACACTTACGCATATGCATTTTTGATGATTGATTTGGCAATTCAAATAACTAATAAAATGTAATTCAAGTAATGTAGAGAGCTTTGAATTGAATTAGGAATCAGAGTTGGACAAACACTATATTCTACATGTTTGATGACACAAATATTTTGACGATTTGATATGAGATAGCTCACTGATATACCTTGGCATTCACTGCACCTGACCGCATTCCTGAAACACGGCAGAGAACATGTTACTCAGCTAAGAGCAAGTGGAAGAATGAAAGCCAAGAGGGAAATTTGCAGTAGATTTAAAAACATTACCCAAGTAAAACATCCAGTTGACACGAAGCACAATGGCACTTATCCAAATTATCTCTCTTACATGAAAGGTAGGAGAATATATCCTTACGGGAAGCTTTCAGCTGCCTTCTTTGTAACTTGGAAAGCACATTCGCAGGCTTGCCAGCCAACGGCAGAAGAGATTTGCCTATGTCTTGTTCGTACTCTTTGATCAAATATAAAGGAATGTGTGTTTCAGAAAACCAGTATTTTTCCCTTCCATCTTGCCTTTGCTCTACTTCTATGATATTCTTCATGACACGGGAAGGGAGATGCTTTTGATTCTCAAAAGCAACCCCATATATAATCATGTATTCCACATTTTTCTTATCACAAACAAAAGCATTTCTAAAAGCAGAAGCTTCTGTCTCTGGACCTTTTCCATCTTGAAGGTTCTGTTCAGGACAAACAAGATCACTCCATCTTACATGAAGATCTAGGTACCTCACCTGAAAGAAGGGCCAACTTTATTGTTATATGTTATGTCCACAAAAATCACAAACTTCACCATAAAACTGAACAACAGACATTCAGAGAGTGCAATGCTTTGGTATACCAAAAAGAAGACAGATAGTACAATTTGCTATAGCATGCAGATGATGATCACACACCTGAAGCGCAAGCTGGGATGCATTCTTACTCATTTCAACTGCAGCTCTCCAGAAATATTGTCTACTTCTTTTAGGAATCTCAGAACCTTCAGCATAGTAAATACCAGGAATCTTTCTACGACCACCTGATATGTAGGAAAAGTACAAGTAAATTTAAATTGCCTTGCAAAGAATTTAAAGTTCCAAAAAAAGATAAAGAAGAAGCAGCATATTAGACTTGATAACCATGAAGCTTGCAACAAAGCAAAAGCAGTCAATTTCTATGTAGCGAGAAAGATGGTCAGAGTTCAGATGTACCTTGGCGAGCTGCTTTCTTAACCATTGAGCGTGGCAAAACCCCCCTGTGTAATATCAGCTTTGATAGGATCCCTCCTCGCCACCAGTTGAAGTCACTCAAGTTGTCAATGGAATCATCAGATGTGACTTCAGATATAACAGACGGTTTTCTACCCCGCCTCCCACCTGGTCCACGTTTCTGAGTTGATCCAGTGGCAAATGTAGCACTCTGGGTCACAAAAGATTCAACAGACCAATTATCCACAAGCTTAACCCAGTCCCCAGAAAGAGCAACGGAACGGATGTTTTCCTCAAGCTGCAAATATATAAAGATGGTTACACCACCGAGAACATAAAACACAAATGCATAAATTAATTCCTATATTCTTCAATTAAAAACTAACTACAATTTATAGACTACAACTAATTAGGCTACTTAACAGACATTGAACCTATTTATTCTATTAACATCATCCATATTCAAAAACCTAATGATGATGACGGGCTGGACAAAGCATGCAACAACTTGGCAGTAACCACCTTACTGCCAAGGTCTCTCTGTTTGACAAGTAATGCATCAAACTATCCACCAAAACTAATTATGCAATTAACGTTTAAAAGGTGTACCAAATCCTCCAAGGTGAACATCCATCTTATCCAGTATCACATCTATACCATAAAGAGGTCAAGGTCATAAAGTTGAAGAAATTAGATTGAAGAGCTGAGACGAAAGTTAATCCTCCTATAAAATCATTTAAGTTGAAAAACTCATTATTAATAATTAAAATAAATTCCATAAAACACCTCAATTTTCTTTTCTGAAGAGAACCTTTCACATATTGGCAGTGTTTGGGGAAAAAATTTTGTGAGTTCTTTTTTATTTTTTCCACTAAAAGACAAAATTTTTGCAAAACCAAAAAAAACAAATCCAAACAAAATATCACATCCAACCCCATAATCATTTCACTTTTTCTCTCACAAACATCACATCCAACCACAAAAAAACCCAACTATCTTCCCAAACACCAAAAAAAATTTTTCCAATAATATCCTACAACTAAAAAAAACCTACATAAAAACCCACTTCCCAAACACCCACATTATTTTGAATGAGGAATAGCAAACCCAGTGTCAAATGGAATGCAGAACCTGCTGGTAACATAATGGTTGTTACATCTGTATATAATGGAACCAAGAGTAGGACAGTTCAATTAATAAAACAATAATTACACGGAGACCACCTAACAGGCATCTCCATCAAACAATAAAAAGCATTAATCGTACAAGAAAATATGACTCGTTACAAGCAGGATCATGTCAACGTGCCCACAATTGAAATGCAAAGAAATATAGTAGTTACCTCAAGCAAGAGAGATTTTACTGCACTGCATGTTGTGGCCTGTTCCACTTGTTTACGCCATTGCTTTCTGTAAGCAGCACTCTGAAAGGGGCCAATTGTCAAACCACATAAACTCTCCTCCATTAACATAACATACGTTGCAATGCCAAGAAGGCTTCCATCTCCATTCTTTGTGGGACGAAGACCAGCTAGAATTTTCATAGCACCTTTAATAGCATTTGAGGCAGCTCCATTCAACAAGCATGCTTTCTTGCTTGTAACAAGGGCCCTGCAAGAAAGGCACCAACTGCACCTTTCTCTTGGTACTTCCACAAGCTTCTTTTCAGAATTCGGCCAGAAAAAACGTATAGCTGCTGATGAGAAAGCTTTTACTTGCAGTGAAGTGTTAGCAGACACTAGTTTCCTCTGATTGTCTGAATGAGACTCAGAAACACGACTTTCTTCAGTTGAAAGAATAGCCAGATTGACAGCTGCAGAAGCAGCAAAATCGCCATGGACATAGTTATTTATATATGCCTGGGACTTAAAATGTGACCCCATGTACAAGCAATCATCAGATGAATTCCTGTAACCTCTTCCAGCACTTCCCACATTACCTTCTTTGCTTTGAGAGGACACATTTACTATGACACAAATACCGTCTACATATCCTCTGTGACTTCCATTGCTATTTCCTGAAGTACTTGTCGCAAGTTCTGGCAAGCTTGATTTTCCAGAGAAGCTTTGATGAGTTAAGTCAGATGAATCAGCCTGCTGAATTACTGAACCAGAAGACATGGTACAATCCACTTTAGTCTGCTCTATGAGCTCAGTACTTTTAACAAGGAAAACCTGCTTCATTGTAGTGTCACCACTCCTCTGCTGATTAGGATTTCCAGCTTGGGTAATTGTATCCAGTGACCTCTTGTTAAACACAAGCTCTTTACAAGAGTTTTCAGGACATGAAACTGCATTTTCCACACTACTTTCAGTTACAGAACTTGCTAAGTTCTCACTCACAGCCAGATAAGTAGAGCAGTCGCCATCTTCCTTTACATTGGCTGATGGTTTACACATTTCAACTGTTTCAAGAACAGGTAAACTATCTTTTTGAATATTCCAATATTGTATAATTCCCTTGCAAATCTCAGAGTACAACACAATATGTTGCACAGATGAATGCAGTACCTGCAGTACCTTTGAAATGTCATTCTGATTGTAGTATCTTAGACATGGTTCTGATTTGATTGAATCCTTTAGCCTGCAATCAATTATTAAAACACATCATAAAAGGATTTCAGATGATGATGAAACCAGAAGACAACATATAAAAGCAGGAATAGAATACAACATAGAGCCAAACCAAGGTGGATTAGGGCCATAAACAAAGTGATCCAATTAGAACAAGACATCATATCCAAAAATGAAAGGAAACAAAGAAGCACAGTAATAAAGGTATCAGAAACATACACCAGTAAATGATTGCAAGTGCCCAAAAACACTTGTCCATATGAATCAATGCCAAAAATTTCTGCTCCTCTCAGAGGTGTACCCCTCATAATTTTTGGCCCAATCTTATTAATTGTACACTCGGGACAATACCATGCCCCTTCTGGTATAAACATTTTGCTTACACCTATACACCTCGAATGGTAAGCTGATGGACACCCATCACAACAGAGCAAAGTCCCATCCATACCACAAAGCCGGCATTCATCACCATTACCATCATAAACAATATCAGCATCCACATTCATTTTAGTGCCTTTTACACCCAAATAACTTGAGTTACAAGTGGACTTCGTCCCGTGAACTTTTGCTATGATCTCTATAGCTTCCTCATTCTTGCAAGCAGAAGTCTTAGAGTATCTAGGATGAACCCTTCTTGGCCCACTTTCAGAAACAACAGCGTCAGAATCTATTCCAACCATTGATTCTTCGCACGTGTCAATTTCTGTTCTTAGCTCTATAGATTCCACAACATCATCACACAATATTAGCAAAATCATCAACTTCCTACCCGCAGGTAAAGTGTAATAATCCTTCTCTAAAACATCAATGTAGAATCCTTTCCACTCAGGTCCATTTGTGTATCCCATTACCATTAAATACTGGACCAAGTAAACTGGCCAAGTCAATGTATCAAGCAAGCTCCAATCAGTGAACCTACAAGAAAGAGTCAAATGTTAGTTCTAAGCTCTAATCAATGCTTATTGAAACAAATGCTTCTTGCATTATGGCTTATAATATAAAATATGGCCAATAAAGTGAACTCGAAAGGTTCTCAGTGCTTATAGTTTGGGTCATACATGTTGAAAACATAATTGCAAAAGTAATGCTTCTTGCATGTGTGCAATGAATACCATTCTTTTTGAAAAAATTCCTCCATTTGTGAGGATGATTAAATGAGCAAAATCTTACATCATTCCACATCTCAAAAAGCTAAATAATATTTCATGGTTGTCAATGGCAAGCTCAAGCTTAAATTCACCACTATAAAACTAAATTATATTTTTTGTCAAAGAGCAGAAAAATAAATGCATATTTACCTTAAACATTTTGATGCCAACTCAGAACCATCATAGGAGAGCATATCAAGATGGCGCCTCAACATATGCATGAGAGCAACATGAATGCCATCCAACAGTGTGTTTGGGACAAGACAGTTAAGTGACCCCACAAAATCATCAAGTCCAAAGGGGCTCAAAAACAGCTGAATACTGAACGAGCGCAAGAAACCATACACAGAGAAAAGGTGTGAAACGCACTCCTCTGGAACACCAATATTTCCTGAAGATGGAGGCAATTGTGGTGGTGGGACAAATGGGGCATCAGCCTCTGAACTAAAATAATGATCCCATGTGTGCTCACATGAATCACTTGATGAATCAGCATCATCATCGTCATCAATTAGAACATCAATTTCATTGTCACCATCATTACTTAACTCATTCGGTAAAGATGCTTTGACCCTGTCCGCAACATTCACCAAATCCTTTACTTTCCCATCCACAATATCCTTACCCTTTGCATATTTCTTCGCCAATAATTCATCTAACTTATTCTTCCTTACAATCAAATCACCGACTAAATCACCGTCCCTAATAAGCAACTTCCTCACTTCAGCACTCTCCAAATCCTCACAATCCCCATCTTCATAATCAATTCTATACAACCCGGTATCATAATATACAATCTTCCCAAAAAAATTCCCACTACCCTCAAATTCCTTCTTCACATATCTACCAACCAATACCATCGACCTACTCTCAACCACCTGCTTATTCGGTTGCGGACCCGCCAAAACGTTTTCTACATCCTTCCTTTTCCTTTTTCTCCCTCGCCGTTCCAATCTAATTACCGCAGGTTCCATTGGAACAACAAAAAATAAACCCTAGGGTTCCAATACTTCACCAAGAAAAAAATTGAGGATTTGATCAAACCTAATTCAATAAAACAATGCAGAAGTTAGGGTTTTTACAGATCTCGCGAACAAAAAAACATAATCAAGTGAAAAAAATTAAACACTATAACAAATCAAAATCAGCGTCAAAGTGAAGATTAATGCATCAACCAACGATACGACTTCAATGTCAATAAAACAGATTCAAAAAACACTAAATATACATATACATATACATATGCATATACAGATGTATGTGAATGTGAGAACGAACTGTACCATGTTACTGATCGATAACCGCCATTAACACGTCTCTTTGAGAGAGAGAGAGAGAGAGAGGGAGGGGGGGGGGGGGGGGGGGGGGGGGTGTGCGGTGTGATAAGAACCCTAATGGGGGAGATAAACCAGCGCCTCGCCAGAGTCTTTGTGAGGGAGTTATAGGAGGCGGGCACACAATCAAACATATAGATTGGTTTGACTCGGAATTCGCAGTTTTATGACTCAGTGACTCGTCCGAGTCATGTTCTCGGTTTTAAATTTGAAAAATTAAAAACCTACAATATTTTGAATTTCCTTCTTTTTTGGCTGAAACGTGATAAGTAGTGTTTTGAATTTCTTTATTTTTCTCCATAAAATGATGAATTACACTCACTTTGGTTTGATTTTCAATTTTGTTACTTAAAAAGCAAAGTAAAAATAGTTTGGTGAATAAAATGAAAATTTTTAAATATTCGTTTTTTTCATATGATTTTTTTTTTTTGTAAGGGATTCTTTTGTTTTTTAAATATATTTTTTTATTAAATTAGTTTATAATTTTAAACAAATAAAACAAATTTGAAAACAAAAATAGTGGCTAATTTCTCTTGAACTTTAATAAATTTATGAATTTCTCACAATGTTTCTACAATTTTATTGAATATCCCAATCGTGTTAGATTTTTTAGCCGGTAACGTTAAGGATGTGATTTTTTATTCATTTTTTTATTTATTTTGTAGTCATTACAATTCTGCCTCCGTTTGGCAAGTGGGTTGGCTATTTTAACCTGGGCTAAAAAGTTTGGTTTGGGAAGGGTTTTTTGGCTTTTTTGACTTTTTTTGTGAGAGAATAATGTAATGATTATAGGTTGAATGTGATGTTTTGTTTGTTATGGCTAAAATAACCTATTTTATTTTTTGTGACTAAAATAACCAAAAAAACTTGAAAAAGCCCTTGCCAAACACAAGCTCTAACTATGTCAATCTTTTTTACTGTCATCACCATCACTACTTTCATTACAATAACATCGCAATGTGTCAAACTAATGTGCGATTAATCCACGGCATCAAAGTTTGACTTCTCAACTTATAATTTGTGCTTTAATAATAATGATCAATTTAAATATTTTGTTGAATCTAATAATTTCATAAATTTCAAATATATATATATATATTCAAATTGTCAAATATCTCAAAATGTTTCTACAATTATATTGATATCCTGATTGTGATAGATTTTTTAGTCAGTGGCATTAAGACCTCGTTTGGAAACAGGTTAATTTAATAATTTTTTTGGCTATTTGGCTAAAATATGAGCTAAAAAAAATTAGTATGTTTTGGATGACTTTTTGGTTTTTTACGAAAAAATGTGCAAAAAGTAGAGAGAAAAGAGAATCTTTGACTTTTTTGTATGGATTGTTGACTTTTTGGCTAATTTAGTGACTTTTTGACTAAAATGAATGGTTCCCAAACGAGACCTAAGGGTGCGATTTTTTTCTCACTTTCTTATTTATTTTTTAATCAATACAATTCTAACCATGCCAATATTTTTCTTTAAGCTTTTCTATGTAAACTCATACCCTGCTATCACCACCATCACTATTTTCATCACAATAACACTGGTATCTGTCATACATCAATGTGCCCTAATCCATGACATCAAAGTTTGACTTCTCAACTTATAAATTGTGGTTTTATAATAGTGGTCAATTTAAATATTTTGTTAACATTGTCTGATCAATGAATCTAATAATTTCATAAATTACAAACAAATTATGTATGTTCTAATTGTCAAATATCTCAAAGATGTATGTAATTAACCATATAACAATTAATGTGGGGTGGCTCAACAAAGCAACTTTAATTTATGAGCCACTATTATAGAGAAATTGTATAGTATTGATCTCAAATTTTATAAAAGCCCTTAAAATGATTACTCCTGTATTGTTTAGTCCAATTTATTGTAATTTTTTATATTTTTTATTTTCAGAATTTGTATTAGTGTTTGATATAGTTTATGGTTATAACTGATGAGGCAAAAATCATTTAAATAAGTTTTAAAAAAAAAATTATTATTCTGAAAGTTGAGTGATGAGTGTTTGTAGTTTATGATTTTTAATTATCAATTCTATTGTTATTTTATTTTTTTAAAACCACTAAACAATCCCTGGATAATGAATTTAGAAGTGCAATTTTATACATTCACACCAAAAAAAAAAACTGCACAAACAAATTTTTATTACAAAAAGATATGTCTGTGTAATTGTACATGGTTAATAATTTATAACTTAACAATTAACCATTTTACTTTTCGCTGGTCGAAAATAATAAATTATAAATACACTTTATAAGATTTGTTTAAAATACGAATTATCTGTATAGTTCTAAAATTTATAAATACCCCCTTGTTATCATTTTGTATTTAATAGAATTAATAGAAAAATTGAAATTCATGACTACTCTAATATAAAATAATAAAATGGCATGAATTGTTAATTAAAATTTATTAATCATATCATTAAAAATTATTATTTAACTTATTGATTTATTAATAAAATAAGTTATTTGTTATGAAATTAAAAATTAAAGAGATGGAATATAATTTTTAAAACTATATGTGTACTTATAATTCACCTAAATATAAAAAATAGCAGTAGTTGACATTTAAAATGAGGCCTACTGAATTTGCATGATGGAACACCAATTTGTGAAGTAAATTTATTAAATAGGATCTTCACAATAAAAATGGCATGCGTATTTATAGGAAAATATTATGGTACACCCCCTTTTAAGGTGTGTATCATACTCACTTTATAATCAGGGTTGGCTTTGGACATAAGTCGGCGAAGTCGTCGCTTTGGATCCCGAAAAATTGATTGAAAAAATGGTACAAAAATTTGTTAACTATTATAGTAACCTATAAAAAAATCTCACTGAAATTTAAAAGTCTCGACAAAATTCAATTATGATTTAAAACTAATAGATGGTTGATGTGGTAAATTATTAAAACTAATAGATAGTTGTTTTTAACCAAAACAAATCAAAAAGCTTATTGATATGGTGAATTGTTTGAAATTATTAAATGGTTATTTTTTAAATGTATAAATTATGTATAGAATACGATTTACTATACTACCTACAGTTGCTCTTTTAAAATTAAAGTTGATTAAATCTTACATTTGTTCAACTATATCAAATGAAATATTAAAATATATTAGTAATTTTATTCATCAAAAATGATTTAGCTTATAATTTGGATTGTGCAAACGAGATAAGCAATTTTACAGCTAAAAATGTGAGAAGAATAATTTTTAAATGATTTTTGTTACAGTTTGTTTAATTTTTATTTAATACTTCAGTTTAGATTATTTTGGTCATTTTTCTTATTGTAAAATGTAATGTATATTTAAGTAAAATTTAATAGATGAATACTGAAAGCAATCTTTTCACAAGGATTGTCAAATATCCAAAAAAAAAAAATAGACACGTAATTATTATTTTTAAAAAAAATATGTGTGAAAGGCCCTGTATTGGAAGTTCCCTTTGGGGCTCGAAAAAGTCAGATTCGGTCATGCTTATGACTAAAGAATAAAATGACATAATTTTATATTTTCTGTGTCATAATTAAAACAAAGTCATAACCAAACATAACATAAAATATAACTAAAATAATGTTATAACTAAATAAGAAAAATTAGTCACAACTAAAGCAAAAAATGACATAATTAGTTGTGCATATGATACATCATTTTTAAGGGTGTGTATATTAGAATTTCCCATATTTATAATTGACATAAATATAAAAAATAGTATATAGGCTTGTTTTCGCAACTCGAAAAGTCTTTTTTTTACTTTTTGACCTTTTTTTTTATTATTATATCGCCTCTCTAATTTTTTATACGTTTAAAATAAATAAATAAATCAATTTTTTAATCTATTTCCCAAAATAAGCTATAGTGTTTTGTGTTTTTTTTTTAAACACCGAAATAAGCCATAGTCGATATTCAAAATGAGACCTACTGAATTTATTTATCAAAGAAAAAAAAGATAAAAAAAAGGGGGACGTACTCAATCTGCATGATGGAACATCATGTAGGATCGTCACAATAAAAATCACATGGAACACTCCGGGTTGACTCAGAGTCAGAATGGTTGTACAGTGTTTCTGGTCCTATGCTTTTCTAACATGTACCATACGCACAATATTCCCAAAACGGAGTTAGGGGGAAATGGCGGGAAAGCTTCACAACTATTTAAAATATTACCCGCCAATATCTCTAAAACGATAATGAAGAATTCTATTCGTTTGGATATTGGGTTAGATTTTTTACTTTTTAATTTTTTTAATTATTTTAATTTAGAGTTAAAAAATGGATTATTTACTAATAAATTCTACTTTACAAATTGTTATACCAAATATTCCCACTTTTATTCTATTATACCAAATAGTCCTACTGGTGGGTTGATTTGGTCCTTTTTGTTTTTTTTTTTCATTTTTGTTTCACTGTGTGGACGAGAGTGCCCTTGGTTTAACGTGGCACTGTTTTGTTGGATCAAACGTTGCTCATTCCGTGTGTACTGTGTGCGTTGTGTGTGTGTATCAGTGTGTGTGGGTGTGTGTTGAAGCCACCAGTGTGTGTGTGCGTGTATCAGTGTGTGTGTGTGGGTGGGTCTCCATGAGAGAGATGTATGTGTGTGTGCGTGTATCAATGTGTGTGTGTGTGTGTGCGTGTATCAATGTGTGTGTGTGTGTGCGTGTATCAGTGTGTGTGTGTGTGTGGGTCTCCATGAGAGAGATGTGTTGCAAAGAGGGCTCGATCAAGTGGTCATCAATTCGTACCCTAGGTTTCCATTCTCGAAGGATCGAGGCGGTGGAATCAACGATTCGATGTGTTCGATCTGCTTGTGTCAGTATAAATATGTTGAGATGCTGAGAGAGATGAGTGAGTGTGTTGCAGAATGGGTCTCCATGTGAGTGTGTTGCAGAATGGGTCTCCATGTGAGTGTGTTGCAGAATGCGTGTGTTGCAGAATGGGTCTCCATGAGAGAGATGAGTGAGGCGGTGGGTCTCCATGAGAGAGATGTGTTGCAGAATGGGTCTCCATAAGAGGGC